TTTTTTAATGTTTTTATTAATTAAACCTTTTCCATTTAACATATCAGATATTTGGATGAGGTCATTAAAAGGCCTCAGTAAAATACCAAACATGAAAGAGTTGGTCTAGTTCTATTAATAGAGCTTTATTTACTTTCCAATTTTATTTATATTTGAATACTTTGGTAGCGAGATGGCTCAACCGAATATAGGTTTCTAGGGACAATTAACGTTACCCAGTTGATCCTCTGATAAGCCAACCAGATGTGCCAGTCTGATGAAGGCTAAGTCAGTAATTCTTGATAGTGGCAAGTTATTGGTTAAACCAATAACTAAAGATGTCAAGAGTATTTTTATTTTTATTTATTTTTTCAAAAGATAAGATTTTATGAGTCTATCGGATTCGCCCCAGAATAGAGCGACAACGAAACACTAAATAAAATCCCTTCGGTGGAAACAGTACTGAGAGGATTATATATAGGCAATGTCTCAGCCTCACAATCCCTCAGAGTATTGCTGTTTTCACGAGGCAAACCTAACTTTATTAAACGTCTCATTTCGCTTATTTATATCGATATATACACGATATATAGAATTTACCTACGCGTTTATTTATTCTAAGGCATTAGTATTGCCTTTATTAGCCCGAATCTTACACCTGGGATTACACTTCCAGTCAGTGGCTAGTAACTTGTTCATTACACCTTGATGTCCCCTTCCTGGAAGTTTACATACTTCTTTTGGTATTTTCAATCGTATGCTGCGCGCATTTTCTCTTGATACTGTGCAACATTACTATCTAGTTGTGGCCTAATGGCTTCTTCTAGATTTCGCAGTCGCTCTTCTCAAGATACTGTTGTACTGGGTGCGGTCACTGGCTCATTATAGTCCGTGAGTTGATTCTGACTGCGACCAAAGTACACATTAAAGAGCGGTGACTTGTGTCTTCTGGATGTACGCAGATTGTGGCCCATCTGTACGAATGGAAGTCGTGAACACCAGTTACCTAGATTCTGTTCAACGAATTTCCGTGGCAGTGGCATGAGGTCTCTGTGTGATCGTTCGTTCGCGCCTAAGACTTTAGGTTGATACGGCCGAGAGACTAGGTGTTACATTGGCGCTTGTTCAACAACTTTTGAAAGTATGTTGTTAACATATTCAGTCCCTTGGTCCGTTTGTATGATTTGTGGAAATCCATGTTCACGCGTAATTGGTACCAGCGTGCGTGCTATGGTAGCCGCTGATTTGTCCATCATTAGAGGTAAAATGACATATGATGAGTGTACATCAAGCAATACTAACACATATGTGTGTCCTCTGTTGGAATCCAATAGTGGACCTATAGTGTCCACTTGGATTCTGTCGCCTGGATATGCGGCTTTGATTGATTGTAAAGGGTGAAATCTCATTTTGCGTATCTTATTTTTTGAGACATGGTATGCACCCGTCAATGAACTTGTGTACATGTTGTTGGATATCAGGCCAATCATGTGTGTACCGTTTCCTCAGGAGTGTAATGTCCCAAGTTATGGTATTGCTCGATGACGTTGACACGTGTCTCATACTCTGTTGCCTGTGGTGCATCCCCAGAGTGAACCGGTTCTGATCCCGCAACGTGTATAGCAGGTTGTTCCCGCGTTGTATCAAAGTATAGAGACTTAGCTCCTATCTTTGCGACTAATGTGACACCCTATGGGGTCTTGCCACAAGCCTTCTTGCCCTCTTTGAGGAAAGTATTGTTCGTGTTTCCACTAGCATCGTGTCTTCTTCTAGTAAAGACAAGAACTTTGGAAGCCACAAGGCATTGGGGTAATATGGTACACATATCGTGATGCTGGATGCCTCTTCAATGACTTTGTCAAGGACATCAGGTATAAGTTCCCATGGTGGGTTCGCTCTTGCATTCACTTCCTGCGCCCGCTTTTGTTGTAGCGCATTCTGTTCTTTGGTGTAGTATTTATCTGTGTGTGCATTATGTGCCGATGCAAACATATCTAGTGTGAGCTTTCTAAACCTTCGTTCCGTTTCTTGATAGAATCTGGAATGTAACATCCAATCTATAGCCGATATGGTTATGGGCATGTTTGTTTCCAAGGTGGTGTACTCTTGGCTATTATGTGTTGCCTCATTCGCTTTTTGTAATACTTCTGACTCTTTAGTACTAAAAGTACCTTCATGGAGACGCGACAACATATTTGCCAACTGGTTGTCCTTGCCTGGGACATGTATGATGGAGAAATGGTGGTGGAACGTTTTCGCTATCTATTTGGCTAGCATTGGGTGTAACGTCTGTTGACTGTTCATTTGCGTGAGTGCTTCGTGATCTGTTCACAGTGTTATGTCCCCCCCTTTAATGTATTCGGATAAATGTTCCAGGCTGTATACCAGTGCTAGTAGCTCTTTGGTATTTGTGCCATAGCATTGTTGTGCTGGGTTCAAGCCTTTTGAGAAGTAGAGAATGTCTCTTCTAACTCCATCGATAACTTGAAATAAACACCCTCCTATGCCATAGTCACTAGCATCGTTCATAATTTGAACCGGTACCGCATCGACAGGGTATGCTAGCGTCGTTAAACAGGCGATAGCTTCTTTGAGTTCTTCCCACTTCTTTATCAGTTCCGGAGTCCATAACATGGGTATTCCTGGTTCATTTTTCCTTTCATTAAGTTCCGAAAGTATTATGTTGTGCGAGCAAAGTTGGGGTCGTGGTCTCGCATGTAATTTGCCAGTCCCACTGCTTTGTGCAGATCTCTTTTTTGTTCTGGGTAGTGGCCAATCCATCATTCTTTTATTTCTCTCAGGGTCTGCTTTGAGTCCCTGTGTGGTGGCTTTCACCCCAAGAATGTTGACCACTTTGACCGCAAAGGCACACTTGTTGTGATTGAGTCGGAAGTTTGCGCTATTCTGTCGCTTGATTACTTCACGAACTGTCTTGCGGTGTTCTTCTTCTGTAAGACTCGCAATGACTATGTCATCTACATACACTTGCCCTCCTTCGATATCTATTAGCAGATTCGCCGTGACTCTCTGGAATTGTGCTGGGAGTGAGTGTAGTCCAAACGGCGCGGACTTGAATGAGTATTGCGCTCCTCTCTATGAGAATGTGAAGAAGTGTTGGCTTGCTTCGTCTACTAGGAAGTGGTGAAATCCTCCTGTATGATCTAGCTTTGAAAAGAACTGTGCCCCTTGTAGGTTGTGTAACACTTCCTTTATTTTTGGTAACACAAACTTGTTCTGTTCATATTGATAATTGATCTCACGTAAGTCTAGACATGTCCTGACTTTCTTGAGTAGACCTGTTTGGTCATGTTCACCTGTTGATAGCAACGGTAGGCTCACCGTTGTGGGCTTGTCGCGTTTGTATATGTGGCCATCTTTAAGCCATCGTTGCACATTCTCATCCGTTTGCGGAATGTATTTGTCATTTGTCTGACGTTGATTTCATTTGCAGGTACTGTGACTGTGGAGCCTGGTAGGTTGCAATGAACATCAGGAGGTATATTTGCATTGGTATCCAGTAGGTCTGTAAGTGACTCTCTGAAACCTTCTTGTTCGTGCTCTGGGTCCTCTTCATGTGGTGTGAGGAGTGATTCCCATTTTGCATCTGTTGGTATAAGTGGATTGATTAAACCCGCTATGTATATACCTATGTATATATGGTAGAATGTCCATACCTAGAAGTATTGGTGTCTTCTTCTCGGGTAAGTCCAATACTTCAAAACACTGAGAGGTCTTCCTACCTCCATAGTTAATGTCACAAACTTCTGTTGATCCAGTGCGTTGTACTCTTGCATCTGTTTGTGCTAGTTGTATATAACCCGGTTGCGCTCTAACAGACAGATATAGTTCTGGAACTACACTTTTGTCCATGCATGAGCGTTGTGCCCCTGAGTCTACTAGTGTATGTGCTCATCACCTTCTGTGATGTCTTCCACCTTGCCAGATGTAATGGACAGTCTTGCTATCTGCACATCTTACTTGGCTCGCTGCTAAGCCTTCTTGGCTTGATTTGCTTTCTTCTCGGGACATTCGCTGTACCGATGTGGGGATGGCATTACTTGACAATAGGGGCATGTACGCTCTTCACGTGCTCCTTTCTTTTTCTGTGTCTGCCCCCTTTGCCTGTTCTGGTTGTGTGCACCATTGTCTGTCTTGCGACGTTTGTTGGCGTTCGTGGACTTATTCTCCACTTGCGTGTTCGTCTGTGTGTTGTTGCGCTTATTTGCAGCTCGCGCCTGATCTCTCAACATACGCTCTCGTTGTGTCACAGACGCCGTTCTTATGTGTGTCTCCGTCATAGTATGAAACTTGGTATGTTCTATGTCAGACAGGTGTCCTTCACTTCCATCAGGTTGCTTGTTTCCTTGGATTCGGAGATCCACAACTGATTGTAGTCCATAGTACTTAAGTGCTAGGTACCTTTGTACTTTGAGGATTTGGAAGTTTACGGGTTCGTTGTCTGAGTTGCGGTAACGCTCCTCTAACATCGCCATTGTCTTGTGCACACGCTCTGTGCGCACTTCGACGTTCATCTTCTTATACTGCATAGCATTGAGAAACTTCTCCAATAGATAGTCTACTGGGTGTGATCTGAGTCGATCAATAATGATTCTATTGAACTACTCAGGATCAGTGAAGTGCCTAGTCGTTTGTGTCTCAGAGTCTCTTATGTTATTGAGTACTGCTTTAGTTTTCTCCGTTGCATCAGTTGAATCTAATAGTCTTCTCACTAGCGCTGGATACTGACACAATGGCATTGACGTAGCTAAGAACAGATCACTACTTTGTGTAGTGAACTCTATGATATCTTCACAGTTTTCCAGTCTAAAGAAACTATCCTTAGGCACCTTGGGAAATTCCGAAGTCTTGAGTAATTTCGTAAGAGACGGTTCATTTATCTGATCTCCTAAACGGGAACGCATGAGCTCTAGCTCACTAATGTACAGACTAATTTGTATGCGATTGTCCTCCTCATCATCACCACAATCATTGATCGCTTGCTCATATTGTCGTCTGAGCTCCGCATCCACTAGTGGCATGCGACGCTCTGGCTGTTGATTATGTACGCCTACCCTCATCTTGTGCAGAGTTGATATGGGCACCGGTGCTGTCTGTTCCAATTTGGACACAAACCGACTCACCAGAACATGATTGCCTTGACAAACACTCTTGTCTATTTCTAGTCGCATTGCTGACGCTACAATGGGTACCCCCGCCGGAGTAGGCTGACCCGAACTACTGCCTGGGCTTTCCCCCCCTCATTGGGCTGACTCCCCCGTCACCCGCGCCTTCACTACTTCCCCCCCCCCCCCCCCATCGTACACGCTTGTTCTGGCTGCTGTTGGCATTTTCAGATGTCTGCGTTGATGTGTGGGTGTTAGTGGATTATTAATAAAGACTCTGGTTGTGTTTTGTGCGAAAGCGCGCGCTTTACCCCCCGTCTTTAGGAATAAGTCTATAAAAGAAATAAAGTTTTGGATTTATTCTACTTACTTTTATGTTGTTGTTGCTTTGCTGCACTTCCGCGGGAAGTGTTTATCGTGCTGTATGGCCCGGTAGCTTGTTGCTTTGTTCCCTGTATTTATGAGGTATAAAAACGGTGTTTAGTCAAGCTTATTCCGTCACGTGTGACGTCACTTGTGCTTATTCCGTCACGTGAGAACTTAGTGTCACCAGTGTTATTCCGTCATGTGAGAAGCTATTTTCTCATGTGATCTTAATGAGATGTTCGGTCCTAGTGACGTCACTCTGGAAGTTCGGTCCTGGTGATGTCACCTTTAGATGTTCGGTCCACTGGGCATGTGTCGCCTTGTACCGAACTTCAATGTGTACGTGTGTGATATTTGTAATGTTTACGAATATTCCCTTGTGTCACACTTTCTGAATATTTCCGTTGTTTTTGTACCTTGCTTTGGTTGAGCCTCAGTGGTTATTTGTCCTATTTGTTTGAAGTGTTTGCCTCCTCCTGGTCTTGATTGTGTGCCTGTGATTCAGATCGAATGTGTTTTATTCCCTCTGAAAGCGTATTGTTGCCAACGTCAAGTCTCTGTGTGTCTCTTGGTCATTTGTGCCCTCTTTTGAACCTACAATTGTAGTTTTTGACGAGTAATGTCTAGTGTTTGGTGATCCTCTGTGAGATTGTCCTCTCTACCCGTGTCTAGCGTGTGGTTGGTTTATCACTACTATTGTTGTATAGGTTTATCTTGTGTCCAATTTGTGCTGAGTCCAATTGCGTATGTATCTAAGTTTATTAGGCAATTACTTCTTGCATTGAAATGGCCATTTGAATTGTATGGATCACCTTCTGGAACTAATTGTTCCCTTGTTGTGACTTTCACTGATTGTGTCTGTATGTGTGTGTGAACTGATTGTTCTTCTTTATTACTTGATTGATTTCTTCAAATTGGTTTAGTCTGTGTTTGTGAACTGACTGTTCGTCTTAGTAGTTTGTATTCTAGGTTATTTGATGTGTGATTCTTTGTGTGTGCGTTCCTCTAGGTTTCTGAGTATCCTTCATTCGTATATTCGACACAAATTGCACCATGAATGTTTTTGGTATTCCAGTGTCCTATACGTTCTTTAATTATTCATCCTTCGCCTTATTTGTTGTTTTGTGATCTCGCAGTCTTATAGCGGGCAAGCTCTTGCCACCTCTTTTCTATTGTTGTGTGATGTTGGTATCTTATTGTGATTAGTGATCGACCCTCTGTTTGTGTATTAAGTTGCAAGCTTTTGTGTTTTGCAATGTGCTTATGATCGATTTCGAACTCCTTTGTTGCGTTCTAATGCTCTGTGTGGCTATTGATGTGTCAATAGAGGATCTAATTCGATTTATTTGTGTTTAATGTGACTTGGACATCTGAATTTAGCTTTCTGTGCGTGTTCGATCTTATCGTGATGTTTGATAATGTCTGGTTCTTTGCATAATATTTGTGGTGCATTCTCTCAAGTATCTGTCTAAGTCTGACTTCCCACCTTCTATTTGTGACTTCAATGTTT